ACCCCCCCCACCACCGCTCTTGTGGCTGGTTTGTGCATAATAAACCAGAATGAGTTATTTAATCAGGCCAAGTCATGATGAGAAATTTATCGAGGGGCATCACAAAACAAAACATCTTTGCAAAGCTTTCAAAATTCCAACTGAACGACCATTTGTGGAAATCGGCTTTGTATTCTGTGCAAACTCATCCACCCCATAACTCTTATTATCTATCCATTGTTGCCTGTCCTCTTTGTGCTATTTTGGAGGATCTGTTCAGTATCCCAGACTTGCAGCACTGCCAAACAAACGTTAAGGATAGTCATGTGCCCCAACAGAAACCAAGCTGCAATTGAATTTTTCACATTTTTTACATGTAGTATTAAATAGATCCATTCAAATATTTTGGAACTGCCCTTCCCAAATGATTTTGCACAATTTTAGTACAATACCAAACTAAAAAAAAAGAAACCACTTCCATCATGATCAGAAGCATCTTGTGAGATGCTGAATATAACAGCTAAATTTAAAATAGCCTCTGGGAGGGAGCTGTCTCATCGTGCATTTCCTAATGTTTCCAGGCTGATCCAGTCACTGCCCTTTGTGCCTGCATTTCAAACAATTCTGCAACAATATCGAAGCCAAACGCTGTCACATTTTAGCACATCTCCTTTTTTTCCTTACCTCATTTTCTTCCTCCAAGGCTCTCTGCAGATTACAAATACCAGCATTTGCACAAACCTAATGTATACCGCGAGGACAGGAATTTAGTTTGCATAGCAGCATATTTATAAAAAACAACACATGAGGTTCATGTCCACTGTTCATGGATCGTATGCATTTCTACAGGCATATTTAAAAATTCTGGGAGTTGAAGTCCACAAGTCTTAAAGTTGCCAAGTTTGAAGACCCCTGGTATATACAATAGTGATTTCAGCTCTTCCGCTACTATGAGACACTCTCTTGCCAAAGGCTCTCCCCTCCTACATAACCCAACAATGAAATAAAACATGGGATGTACCTCTTGCAAGCGTTTCTCGAACTGCCTCTAAACCCAGTGAACCCCTTTTCACCTGAAAGGCCAAATGACAACCCACAATATAATTCCACCTACGAAATCAGCCTACAATAAAATATGCCGTTGTTGCACCTGGCTCCCGGTGAGAGAAAATATTCCAGCCTCAGCACAACAGAAGAACATAAAAGAGCCATTCCTGAATTTGTTATAAGGAGCCGTAATCTTTGGTACCCTGGGTTTCAACCAATGCCCAACTAGCTTGGGATGAGGTTACTAATCATAAATGGATTCACAGCTGGGTGTTTTGAATATGGTAAACTTACTAAAAAAAAAAGAAAACAAATGTATAGGTATAGTGTAGGGGGTACCTTGCTCAATAGTAGTAACTGTCAGAGGGATCTTGGAGTCCTACTGGACAATCATTTAATCAAGATCACGTGAAGTATTAATACCACTCTACAATGCCTTGGTAAGGCCACACTTGGAATACTGCATCCAGTTTTGGTCACCACGATGTAAAAAAGATGCTGAGACTCTAGAAAGAGTACAGAAAAGAGCAACAAAGATGATTAGGGGACTGGAAGTTAAAACATATAAGGAAAGGTTGATGGAATTGGGTATGTCTAGTTTAATGAAGAGAAGGACGAGGGGGGACATGATAGCAGTGTTCCAATATCTCAGGGGCTCCCATAAAGAAGAGGGAGTCAAGCTATTCTCCAAAGTGGCTAAAGGCAGGACAAGAAGCAACGGATGGAAACTAATCAAGGAGAGAAGCAACCTAGAACTAAAGAGAAACTTCCTGACAGAACAATTAACCAGTGGAACAACCTTCCTCCAGAAGCGGTGAATGCTCCAACACTGGAAGGTTTTAAGAAGAAACTGGACAGCCATTTGTCCGAAATGGTATAGGGTTACCTGCCTGAGCAGGGGGTTGGACTCGATGACCTCCAAGGTCCCTTCCAACTTTATTATTATTATTGTTATTGTTGTTATTATTTAATGAGGCAAATGGAGATATTCAGATCATAGTATTTTTTTTTGCAAAACGGATCAATCTTCTGTTGCTTATTCTATCCCAAATGTGTTATTCTGTCTCCGATTTCCTATAGAGGTGATCCTTGTTTAGCAACCTTAATTGGCACCAGTGACTTGGTCGTTAAGCAAAGCACTTGCTAGGTGAAACGGCAACTGTGTTTATGATCTCACTTCAGCTTTCCTTCACTTTACAGACCTGTGAAGGTCATAAAAGCAAGGACTGGGCACAAAGTTACGTAGGCGTGGCATCCAAAAACATTATGGTGTTTCACCTTTGACACATATGTCCCAAGTTCACCGTCACTGGTTTGGGTCTACCACCCTTCAATTTAACATCCTATTGTAAGGTCCAAACATCAGCTCAAATTCCTTGTAAGAAGGATTCCTCTAAACCAGGGGTCCCCAACCCCCTGTCCGTGGACTGGTACGGGGCTGCGGCATGCCAGCAACCGGGCCACACAAACAAGCAAAGCCCCATCCATGGGATGCAGGCAGCACACAAAACCACACACTCTCCGGGTCCGTGGAAAAACCTTTCTCCACGGAACCGGTCCCTGGTAGCCAAAAGGTTGGGGACCTCTGCTCTAAACCATGCTGGATGTAGCTTCAAGGGCATCATGGCATTGAATTTGGAACATGCTTCTCCACGCAAAGGAAGAAGATGTGTTTTCTCTGGGGTGGAGGAGGGTTTATATTGCCTTCTGTCAGGAGGTGTGAGTTGCTCTCCTCTCCACAGCGTGGATGTGAAGCATTCATATCCTCCAGCCCGTTTGCCTTTTGAGCCCTTCTTAATGGCATAGTATATTTTCAAGCTGTCTTGTTCTCCTCACAGCCACACGGCTACCCCCAGCTAGCCTTGAGCATCCTGCAGAGATCCAGAGAATTGACTAATGGCTTCCCATCCCGCTCACATTGCCGCTCCCATGCGCTTCTTCTGACATAACACCAACTGACACTAGCATACTGCTGCAGGTATTTTGCGTCCTGCTGATGGTAGCTGTCAAACGACTGCACACTCTAGGATTTATGCGAGGGAAAAGAAGCACTAATGGTCTTGAAAAGACACTATTCCTGTTTCTGCCGACTCGGGGAGGGAGCAGCAATATTCTGGAATTTTCAGAAACCACAGCAAATGCAGTATTTTAATGAAATGCTGATGCTTCAGCATCTTAGGAAACAGTTTTATTGCTGATCTGTTCTGATCACCATCGACGTTTTCCTCTCCAAACCTGCATTGATTTGGCTGCATAATGCTGCTCTTTTGGGAGGAACCAAGTGACATGATGAAAACAGTTTTGGAAAGCATTTGCAAAATCTCTGATCATTTCCTCTTGTGCTTTGCCATTTCTCATGAAAACCTACAATGTCCTTCCCTGATCAGTGGTTGTATAAACAGAGGCATAGAATCAAAATCATATGAAGTATTAGTACCGCTCTATAAAACCTTAGTAGGGCCACCCCTGGATTACTGCATCCATTTTTAGTCACCGTATTATAAAAAAAGATGTTGAGACTTTGGAAAAAGTGCAGAGAAGAGCAACCAAGAAGATTAAAGGCCTGGAGACTAAAACATATGAAAAACGGTTGCAGGATTTGGGAATGGCTAGTCTAGAGAAAAGAAGGACTCGGGAGGGGGGACATGATAGCAGTGATCCAATATTTGAGGGGCTGCCACAAAGAGGGGGGTCAATTTATTTTCCAAAGCACCAAAGGCAAGACAAGAAACAATGGGTGGAAACTAATCAAGGAGAGAACCATCCTGAAAATAAGGAGAAATGTCCTAACAGAGAACAATTAACCAGTGGAATGCTTTGCCTTCAGAAGTTGTGGGTGCTGGAGGTTTTTTAGAAGAGACTGGACAACAACATGTCTGAAATGGTATAAGGTCTCCTGCTTGAGCAGGGGGTTGGACTAGAAGACCTCCAAGGTCCCTTCCAGCTCTATTCTGACTACCTATAAGGTACAAATATCTATACAAAGCGATTTTACACGTGTCTATAGTATGGGTTCAATTTGTTATAGCTATATTCTCACAAAGTAATATTGTAAACCAAGCAGGCATTATTCCTTAGCATGATGTTTGAATTCGGTCAATGTTGATTTAGATTTCAAATCTTAGTTAGCAAAATAACTTTCCAGCAGAAGGAATGAGCCCAGTTATCGTCTCCTATTGATCTTAATAGTATCTATAAAAAAAAAGGTTAACCTCTCCTGTATTAATCGAGGAGCTTGATTCTTATTGGTGTCTGTGTGTGTGACAGAGATTCTTCCACAAATGAAGGTGAATATACGTGTCCCGGGTTAATGTCTATGGAGATTCTCAGTCATCCAGGTCATAGTTATCCCAAAGATGCTTTTTCACGAGGCAACTGGACTTTCTTGCTTTTCTTTGAAGACGTTTCGCTTCTCATCCAAGAAGCGGAAGAAGCTTCTTGGATGAGAAGCGAAACGTCTTCAAAGAAAAACAAGAAAGTCCAGTTGCCTCGTGAAAAAGCATCTCTGGGCCCAGGATAACGTTGCAGGATCCAATCTGAGTCAGACCAGAGATTTTGACTTCCGAGCTTTCAGACTTGTGTTGGAGCCCGTCCTCGGGAAAATTCTCTATAACACTCTGCTAGAGAGAAGTTCCCTGAGGATGGGCACAAGTCCAAAAGCTTGGAAGGCTAAACCTCTGGTCCTGGTGAGTGACTCAGATTGGACCCTGCAGAGATTCTTCCTTATACATACATGGTAATAGGCAGTGCTTTTTTTTTTGTAAAAAAAAAAAAAGGTGCCGGAACTCACACATGTCATACAACCCGCCTTGCCTTGCCTACCCTACAAGGTTCCATCCAAAAAAGGTGCCGGAACTCCATTCTGGGCGTTCTATGAGAAAAAAATGCCCTGGTAATAGGGAAGCATCTCATCTTTAGGTTGAATGTACTGTACTTTGACAATTTTCTTTTCTGTCATTGCTCTGTTACAGATTATAGTACATTGATTTAAGGTACAACCTACGTATGAATCTCTGCAGACAAGCTTAGTTGCATCATTAACTACCCCAGGATGGAGTCCCATAGCCAAGATGACATGGATTTGAAAGCGGAAACTGCTCAAGTGTGGTCTGAATCAGTTGAGCAGGACCAGAACACTACGCAGGTGACCAAAAGCGATTAGAGAATTCTTTCCTTATTGAACTTTATGAGTCTATCTGTGAATTGGGTTTTTCTGAACTAGTTTAACACATATTTTAAATTGATTTTTTTTTTTGAGGAAGGTGTGAGATGGATTCTTATTGGACGTGCATCACAGTTTGATTTTTTTTTGGGGGGGGGGAAGTTCAACAATTGATGCAAAGCTTCACTTGATGCTGTGAAATTTCCTAATATGCAGATTTCCCTAAGAAAGGGCTTTGATTGCCATATTTGAATCACGGCGATTTCTCAGCTCAGCTAAAAAATGTCAGAAACAGCTGGGAGTTTTGGACTGGACCCTAACATTTCCCCCCTGCTCTGGTTTCTTAAAAAGGAACTGTGTAGGTTGGACTTTCCCATTCAAAGGCATTGGATCATGTTTGCCCTATTTATCTGTTCGACTTGGATAGCTGTGTCCTGTACACTTTTACATATTTATTTATTTATTAAATTTTTATTCTGCCTTTATTACTTTATAAGTAACCCAAGGCAGCAAACATATATATTATTCCTTCTTCCTCGTAGTTTATTTCCCCACAACAACAACAATCGTGAGGTGAGTTGGGCTGAGAGAGAGTGACTGGCTCAAAATCACCCAGCCAGTTTTCATGTCTAAGATGGGACTAGAACTCACCATCTCCTGGTGATAGGCTCAAAGTCACCAGCCGGCTTTCGTGCCTAAGACGGGACTAGAACTCACCATCTCCTGGTGATAGGCCCAAAGTCACCATCCGGCTTTCGTGCCTAAGGCAGGACTAGAATTCACCATCTCCTGGTGATAGGCCCAAAGTCACTGAGCTGGCTTTCATGCCTGAGTTGGGACTAGAACTCACAGTCCCCTGGGGTCTAGGCCAGCATCTTAACTACCGCACCAAACTGCCTCTTCTCTCTCTCTCTCTCTCTCTCTCTCTCTCTCTCTCTCTCTCTCTCTCTCTCCATCCATCCATCCATCCATCCATCCATCCATCCATCCATCCATCCATCCATCCATCTATCTATCTATCTATCTATCTATCTATCTATCTATCTATCTATCTATCTATCTATCTATCTATCTCTACCTCTTCTTACAAATATTTGCTTCCTTCCCATACTCTTCCAGGTGCACTTTGTCCCTGAAAATGGAACAGTGGCACAGATTGTGTACAGTGATGACCAAGATCGTCCTTCCCAACAAGTGGTCTACACAGCTGATGGCACATCTTACACTTCTGTAGATACTTCAGAGCACACATTAGTTTACATCCACCCTGTGGAAGCCACTCAGGCAAGTGATTTCCTCCCCCCCCTTCCCCACTGGTGTTCTGCTTATTCACGACTGCTGAGAGATATAATGTCATTTAGGACAAGGGCCAGCTACCTACACAGCTTTCTGGATCCTAAGAGCTCTTAGCCGTACATAATCCTTCCTCTTCACTCCAAATAACGGCGAAGATGTTGTAAATAAAAACAGCCGGTAGCTTTTGAAATAGGCAGCTTGTCCATTTTGCTTTTGTGAAACTGCAGGAAAAATTAATTTCAGCCATCATGGCATTGGCAGACAAAGAGAGGGTTCTTAACATACTGTTTCCCGAGTCATTAGTGGTGCATCAAATTGGGAGAACCGGTAGTGATGAGTTCACCAAAGCATAGTTGTTTCTAACAGTGGGTTAGCTGACATTTGGAAAATTTTAAATCTAATGATTTAAAATTGTGGCTTTTAAATGTCCTTTTATCTTGGATTGCTGTGCATCCTCTAGGCAGGTTTTGTGTGCTATGCATGACAAGGGTAATATACTTAATGATTCAGATTTATTGAGAGAGAAAGAGGAAACTAGCTATCATAAACCGAGTAGTAGGATTGGATGACTTAATACTGATTAAAATTCAACATCCCTCTTTAAGCATTGTTTATGGAATTAACCCAACAGCACATTGAATTATTTATTTAACCAACGTTCTGGATTGAAATGAGTTCAGATGAATCTGTAAGTCAGCATTTTCTGAATGCAGCTGGTGTCTGCATTGTGCTTTCCAGGATTTCTGCTGCAAATTCTTTCTAGGTGAGGCCAGGCCTTGAATATTGTTCATTCAAAGTGGCTGTTCCACCACTAAACTAGGCCCTTACCCTATTTACATACATAGGACATAAGACAGCCTTGTTAGGCTTTTCAGTTGGCTCTTATGAACTGGGAAACGCATTACTGTAGGGCAGGGATCTCCGAATTTGGCAGCTTAAGATTTGTGGACTTCCAACTCTCAGAATTAGAGTTGAAGTCCACATGGCTGGCTGGGGAATTCTGGGAGTTGAAGTCCACAAGTCTAACAGTTGCCAGGTTTGGAGACCCCGGCTGTAGAATATACCAATGCATTTGTACGATAATGGGATGGCTGACAAATAGTCTTTCAGAAAAACCTATCTTAATAAGCGTTTAGGGAATGTCCTTGTTTAAAAAGACTGTACAAATCTAGCAACTTTTACCATTAAAAAAAAATTAAATGCATTATGTGCTATTCATAAAACATCAGGCTATGAATCAGCTTGTTTTTTAAACAAAATTCATTTTTGAATGTCGTCATTTTATATGCCTTGGCTAACTCGCCATGCAGGTGTTCCTTTTCAACGTGATGGGATTGCCTTCAGTCTTAAATTTCAAATATTTATAGCTGTGCTTTGAAAGATACATTAGTGCTTTCTAGATAAAAGCTGCTGTCTAACGTTCTCTCACACTTTTGAAAACTCAGTTGAGGTTTAGAGGCTGAAACAAAATGTATTTTCATATAAATGTATAGAATATTAAGAGTTTACCATAGTGGCAAAGGTATATGGCATTATCAAAAAATTCATCCAGTATCAGTCCCTTAGCAACAATACCTTTTTTTATAAACTTCCAATATCCAAAGAATATTGAAATTATTTTAATCCTTCTTAACTTATTTTTGAAGACTCTTTTTACAGACCCATCTCAAGTCACCTATGTTCAGCAAGATGCTGATACGCAGCAGGTAAGGCTTAACCATTTCTTTGATTTATAAATGCATCCTTTGAGTTTCTTGGAGACAAATCTTGCTAATAAATACACACACACACACACACACTGCACACACACACACTCATTTCTGGCTCTTCCTCAGGCTGAATTCATCTATTTTCATTTGATGTGGCAGGAAAAGCCAACAAAAGAACAATTAAGTTTGAGAATGAATGGGATCTGGCTGGAGTGAGCTGAGATAAACATACTGGAAAAGGCTTAGTTTGATAGGCAGTGCAAATTCCTAATGTTGGCAACTCTTTTGTTCTAATCTCAGCATTTCTTATTATGGCATAAGGCAGGGCTTTTCAACCTTTTCACTCATTGTACCACTTTTAGGATATGGCAACATCTGAGTACCACCAGTCGCCTAGCAAGGTGTCAAAAACTTGATCCCCCCCCCCAAAAAAGGAAAAAAGTGATAAAGTACAGATAGTCCTCGACTTACAACCGTTCGCTTAGTGACTGTTTGAAGTTACAATGGCACTGAAAAAAGTGCCCCCCAAGCCACAGCCGAGCAAGACACCTGCCTGCCCACCTGGCGGCGCTCTTCCTCCTATCCGAGGTTTTCATTGTTGTGGGCATTTCTGTTGAGGATTGGCAGCGGATGTGGGGTGGTGGCTGTTTGGTTTTTATTCCCCCTCCCGTCTGCTGGGTGGTTGCAGTAGGTTTTGGTCACTTCACATGACCCTGGGACACTGTGACCATCATAAATATGAATCAGTTGCCAAGCATCTGAATGTAAATCACAAGACCCTGGAGATGCTGCAACATTCCAGACGATCGGTGCATCTTCTGGGCTCAGCAGAAGCGCTATTGTTATCAAGTGGAATTTATATAGCTGACCCTGGGGTTCTACATGCACACACAGCTGCAAGAGAGGGGAAAGGAGAAACTGATACACGATATACACACACCATGTTACCTTGTTACATGGAAGACAGTACCAGTTCTTCCTATGGCAGGTGTAGGCAACCTTGGCTCTTTTATGACTCGTGGACTTCAACTCCCAGAATTCCTGAGCCAGCACAGCTGGCTCAGGAAATCTGGCAGTTGAGATCCACAAGTCATAAAAGAGCCAAGGTTGCTTACCCCTGTCCTATGGTCACCATTGGTAGATGGGATAGGAAGGGTTCCAGAAACCATGCTTGGTGTACTTTCCCAACTATGATGTTTCACAGTCATAAATAGTATATACAGGCTGGGGGGGGGGTGTCCACATTTTTTATTATGGATTGAAATGTACGTATTCCTAAATGATATATCAAAGGAATGAAGACAAAGCACAATCAGGATAGTGTGGTACATGCTTATTTAAGAGAAAAGTAGAAAATATTAGAAAGAGCTGTGCTGGCTATTTGCGGTCTTGATTATAAGCAGCCATTGAAGAGGAAGGCCTGCCTCAAACAAGGATGAAATGAGTTAGCCTTCCTCCGATTTCATCAACGAAGGAGAATATTTGCAGCTCAGGGTTGAAATGAGGGCCCTTGGTGCTCTCTGAGCATGGTTGTTTTCTTACAGATGTTTCATTTTCTTGCAGATGTTACCTAGACTAGGTAACATCATCAATGCTAGAAAGAAGTGGGGTTTGCAGGGAGGAGGAGGAGGAGGAGGAGGAGGAGGAGGAGGAGGAGGAAGAGGAAGAGGAGGAGGAGGAGGAGAACTGTGGAGTCCTTGGTGCTCTGAGCTTGGTGGTTTTCTTGTGGACGTTTCATTATCCAACTAGGTAACATCATCAGTGCTAAGAAGTTCTATCACTTGTGATTATCACCACAATAGTATTGGCTAGGTTTGAACAATGTGCTAAGTTACAGGTGGCCATAATTTGTCACTCAGCCACTTTTCTTTATTTAAGGGTGTTATGCCGGATTGAGAAAATTATGATTAAATAAATAGTAGATTACTAAAGTTGTATGAATGTAGCCATTGTCTCTCATGCATGTCAGCCTAATTAATCAGTGTTAATCATGGCCTGCTTCATCTATTTATTTATTGTCCACCCTTCAATCTATAGAGCACTCAAGGCACCTAATACCAATTACAGAATGGAAAGGAAATTAATGCAGGATGCATAACATAAATCATGCTGGTTCAATCATATCAACTTCACTTGTCATAAGAAATTTATATGTTGTTATGGAAATTAAAATTAAACAAAATTTCCTTTAATCTCTCTCACTAATAGCATTAAAAGATCAATGGAAAGTCCTTTAGTGGAAGTCCTTTATTACTGAAAATTTAGTTCAAAGGTTATTTATATTTATTTATATTACTTAATCCAGGCTTCCCCTTCTGAAACCACGATCTTTGATTTAAATTATAAACACAAATTATTAATTTTTATTAATTCTTGTACGGCACTTGAAAGATAGCTTTTTTATATATATGGGCTGAACCCTTATCTCACTTTTTATTTGGAATATAATATAAAGGCTAATAAATCCAATTATTTCCTGATGTGACTAGTATAAAGTAGTTTTTTTTTGCTTGATGTGCTCAGTAGTGTGAAATTGACTGGAAGGAGCATGAAATTGAGAGCCATGGGATGTAAAGGCTGGATAATGCAAAAAGAGAAAAGAATATATTTGAGAAAAGCAGTAGCTTCTTATTTAATTCCTTGTCTCTCTCAAGATCAGAAGACTGAAATGGCAAAATATGGGACGCTTTTAGTTTTTAAGCCACACGGAGAACAATTATATGGAGAATTATTAATGAGAATAATGTCAAGGTTCCGACTGATGGAACCAAATAAATCAGAACTCCGAGGTACGAGATTTCCTCAAAGAACATGTTTATTGGATACATGATGTTGGTATGGTCAAAGGTGAAACCATATCTAAAATCCCCCCCCCAAAGGTTCAGAGTAACTTCGTGTAATAGGTCCCACCCTTCTAGTTAGCTATAAATCACATTCTCCAATAGAACTACTTGGCGTGCTTTCTTGTAGGACGTCCCTCCTTCTTCACTACGGTGTGGAAATGACCTTGGTTCCCATGGGATCTATTCATGTTTAGACTAGCAAAAATACTTCATCCACCCTCCCTCTCCTGTGGCAACCTAGAACGACAAAGATGGTTGCAGCCAGATTCATTGTAGAGTTGACAGTCGGACCCCCCTAAGGAGAAAGCAGTTCCTGTGAAAGGAACATAGATGCAGGTTAAGATTCCTCCCTAGGCTTTGGGGGGGGGGGTTGTTGTACAGTTGACAAATAACTTGACAGCTGTATTAGTGGCTGATGAAATGAATTGGCTCTCACTTCAGTATTCTGCATTTGACCATAAGTAGTTTGAAGATGGTTAGCTGTGTTTGTGTGCTCCTCCAAATTAACAATATGATGGTTTAAAGATTGACAGTTCTTATCCTTGGGCTGTCCTCAATCGATTGCAAAGATAGCAGTTTTTGAAGGCTTCTTCCAGACAAAGAAACTGGTTGGTGTTGGTTGCAGGCTTTGTTCACGTATCACATTAAATTGTGGGGGTTTTTTTTTGGAGAATTTCACAACCATACGCTAAATTATAAACTATGGTTTACAAACTATTAGGAATGGATTCATACCCTGCGTTAAACCAAAACCGGGTTCATCATTTTGGCTTAGCACGTCTCTACCTTGCCACAGTCATACTGAGATAGAAAGAGATCTCGCAATCTTGTGACTTTCATGGTTGTTGCTAATCTCATTCATCTAATAGTCCCCGTGCTCCAACTGCTGGAGGAAATTAGATGACTGAGATAACTTAGAATGTCTCTTTCCTTTTTAGTATGACTTCAAATGGGGCACCTTCAACTTTCCACCACTGTCAGCTGTTGGGAAGAAGCCTTCTGAGTTCTCAAAAACGTGGATGCTTTCCATATGGTGAGTGTAATATGTAGCTGGGCCAGGGGTAGGCAACCTTGGCTCTTTTATGACTCATGGACTTCAGCTCCCAGAATTCCTGAGCCAGCATAGCTGGCTCAGGAATTCTGGGAGTTGAAGTCCATGAGTCATAAAAGAGCCAAGGTTGCCTACCCCTGAGCTAGGCTGTTAATCCAAAGCTGGAAAGGTGGGGAACACCAGTCCCATCCACCAACACAAAACTAGAAAGAATAATAGTTGTTGGTTTGCAGTATATTGTCTCCCAATCTGTGGACTGGACAGACTAACCTGCCTGTCATTCTTAAGCATCTGAATGTATTTTTGCCATTTCCTTACCCCTCTTCTCGAAACCTAGCCTAGATGTCAGCACTGTTGATCAACCAAGCATTTTCAGAGAAAGATCTTCCGTCTGTTTTCAAATAGTTCCCATATTATGAGCACAGCTGTTGCCCTGCAGATGTTACAAGATATATTTCTTCTGTGGGAAAATCTCTGTTGTGTCCCTTGTCTCTTGATCCTCCCACCATAGGTAAAAAGGATGAAACAAGAGAGTACTAAGACTTGGTTTGCTTGCATCTTGATAGCCTGTAGCAGCAAGCATTACATTGATAGTTGTGCCTTGCATATAAATTGGTTAACAGCTGAATTCTGGCTGAATTCATAAGCGGAGCAATGAATTCTCTCCCTTTTCTTCCTGATGACTTCTCCCTTTGTTATTTTTAGTTGCTGTTATCTTGTTCATTAATACCTTGTAGAGCAGTGCCTTAAACCATGTTAGAAACCAAACTGAAGAAACCAGAATCCAGAAACCAGCCTTGACCGTGAAGGGCTTCAAAGCCTTGCATGTCCGAACTAGCAAATATGTCCCTTATAGGGCTAGCTTCCAGCCATACGTGCCCAGGATACAGCTAGTCCTCGACTTACGACTGTTTAATGACCATTCAAAGTTACAACGGTGCTGAAAAAAGTGACTTATGACCATTTTTCACACTTACAACTGTTGCGGCACCCCCGTGGTCACATGATCAAATTTCAGATGCTTGGCAACTGACTCCTATTGAGGACGGTCGCAAAGTCACGCGATCCCCTTTTGCCACCTTCTGACAAGCAAAGTCAATGGGGAAGGCAGATTCACTCAACGAATATATATTTCCACTTAACAAAAACTTAGCGACATAAATTTTGGGCTCAGTTGTGGTCGTAACTTGAGGACTACCTATATTGTTCTCCAAGTAGTGCTAAGCTCCATCTTCCAGGGCGTCTTACTGCTGGCCGGGCTATAGATAGTTTGCATTTGTCTTGCCTCATCTGAGCTACCCATTATTATTCATCAAGGCATGGACTAGTCACTAGTGTGTAATTTCCTTTAGAATAAGGTCAAGTAATTAGTCTTTGAGATTGAATTCTCAGTGTGAAAGCTCTGCCAGGGCTTGTCCACCATGGTTACCTTCCCAGAGGGTTGAAAGAGTGGTGTGTATAGTATGCCGGAATTGGCAACGTGCCATTTGTTAATGCTAGCTTCATCTTGGGTTGGCCTCTCCACTAAAACTAATTTCATCAAGGGCAAGAAATTATCCCTTATTCAATTTTGTATGACTTGCAGCGGTGTTCCCACCCACCCACCCCAATTGAAAGTCTCAGAAATAGAAAGGAAATTAAGCTTCTGGGGATTATTTAGTATTCTTGCAAGGTGAAACATTTTGCAAAATATGAAGTTCTAAAAAAGCAACATTTGGGCATCTTTTATTGTGGCTTCAGCCAGCCATGCTCGGACTCAAGCGCACGTCTAGAATAACTTGAAAAGTTCCTTGATGTGTCATTTTATCAAACTAAAAATACTTTTCTGAGTACTTTGCCGAAGCTCGTTCTTTAAGCTGTTATTGGATGGTTTCACACAATACTGGCTTCAGCTTGATCTGTTATCTTTTAGAAGTACTTTGGCAAAATGGAAATGTGCAAGTGTTCTTTACAATTAGGCTTTTAGTGATTACGAGGTTGCTTTTTGTTGTTAAAAGTTCAAACATTAATTAACTTGTTTCTTAACTACTTTAAGTGCATCGAGTATTTTTATTTTTTTTTGCTGTATGGAATGAGAAAATTATAGGCAGGATTGTTGTAAGGTACATTTTAATGGCAAACTAATAACAGTTGGAACGGAGAAGTTGAGTGGCTTCCTTTTAAGATTAAATAAATATGAGACACACCAAGTTGCTAAAACCCCTTTCTGATTTAATGCTTTCTGCATTCTTTTTGCAGCTCATCTTATTACTGCTGTGTTAAATACTTTCTCAATAGTAAATCCTCTTCATGAGGCTAAACACAAGCAGGTCTTGTAAACTCAAGTCCTTAATGTATTCTCACTGTGGGTAATTAGCCTAAAGCCATTGCTGAGATTAGGCCATTCCAGTAATAGAGAATTTTGACATTTATTTGTCCTGAGTGCTCTGTGGTAAAAGTCTTGTTGGCTGCAGACAAAAACTAGAATAAGAGCAGATGTTTGGAACTACAGTGTCTATCATTCTGGACAATGGGCTATGTTCAACATGAAATAACTGGGGAAGAGCCAACTTGCCTACTCCTGGTGAGCAGGAAAGAGTTCAGGACCACCATGTTGACAAGCCTGTCTAAGGAGAGGCCTTTGAATCCATAAATACAGCATCACAGTCTGGTTTGGAAGCATCACTGCTTCAGACAGGAAGGCGGTGCTGAGAAGGGTGAGGACGGCAGAAAAGTTCATTGGCAGTTCCCTCCCTCCCCATCCAGGACATAGCACAGAAACGTTGCTTGAGCAGGGTCCACAAGATTGTCTGGGACACGACACATCCTCTTCACAACCTGTTTTCCTTGTTCCCTTCTGCGAGGAGGGGGCTTCATGGTATCCAAAGCAGAACATCCAAATTCAGTCACAGCTTTGTTCCATACAGTATTAACCTTATGAATTCTAAAGCTTCCTCTTTCTGTTATGTCAGTGGTGGCGAACTTATGGCACAGGTGCCAGAGACGGCACTCAGAGCCCCCTCTGTGGGCACGCGTGCCATCGCCCCAGTCCTAGGCCTTCAGCTGGGTTTTATAAAACCTTTTCGCTTTAGGCCTCCGCCGCCGGGTGCAAAAAAAAAAAAAAGGTTCAATCAGTCAATTTCAACTTCTCGCGGGAAAAAAGAGATCTTGCAAAGTTGGAATTGATTGATTGAACTTTTTAGTCCCATCCAGTCTGCCGTTACCACCGCAGCCACACCCACCCAATGGGCCACACCCACCCGGCACCCGACGATGCATAAGTGGGTTTTGGGTTGCAGTTTGGGCACTCGGTCTCTAAAAGGTTCACCATCACTGCGTTATGTATTCAAGATGGACACTGACTAATATTTATATGTTACCTATATGTAAGGGTGTAGGTCTATACATATATTGTATATAGTATGTTTTAAATGTGTGTTAGGTATGTGTACACTTTGAGAGCAAGCAGCTAAATTTCATTTTTAATGTGTGCCGTTGTGCCCACAGGAAAAAATGACAAAAAAGGTTATCTAAATCTAAATCTAAATAAGGTACGAATCAGTCAAGCCTGCATAGTAAATGAACTTCCTTTTAAAGAGGCTACCTGTATGTACAGGTAGTCCTGGATTTAAGAGCTCAAAATTTATGTTGTTAAGCAAGACAGTTGTTAAGCGAGCTTTGGCCCATTTTACACCCTTTCTTGCCACAATTGTTAAGTGAGTAATGTTAAATTAGCCAACGTGGCTGTTAAGTCAATCTGGCCTTCCCATTGAGTTTGCTTGTCTGAAGGACACAAAAGATGATCACGTGACCCAGGGACGCGGCAGCCGTCATAAATGGATGCCAGTTGCCAAGCAACCCAAATTTTGATCACCTGTCCACAGGGATGCTGCAACGGTCATCGGCGTGAAAAAGGCCCTCTTTTTTTTTCCTTCTCTGCGCCGTTGTAACTTTGAATGATCACTAAATAAACTGCTGTGAGTCAAGGGCCAGCTGTAGTTGACTTTAGCAGTTGGACTATGTGCATTATTTCCATTTTGATTCGGTTTCCATTGAAACGTGGATGTTGCTTATCCTGAATCGCACAAGCTGAGCAGGATGGTCCTGCTGAGAAGATCAGGCAGATGGAAAAGAAGAGAAAATAGCACTCTTTTGGTTAGCTCTTGACCTGGCTCCAAGCAGGAGTAGACAATCTGTTAAAGTCCACCTTCCTGCAGCAGTAATTCGTTAAGGGGTGCGTTTTGTGGAAATATCAGAGCCAAAACTAGATGGGGACACTTATTCTTTTTTCCGACACTTCTTTCCCTCTTGTTTTCTGGTTCTCTGTTATCCATGTTAGGTTTTAGAAGAAAATACATCTTGCATTGTTTTTCCATGCTGACTATTTCTGATTTTTCCCCCTCTCCCCCTCCATGTTTTCAGGTGTCAATACCAGTTCATAGCCAAGCATTGCCTCCCATGGAGGCTGTGGATGATCCTGGCTCTCTAGAAACTTTGCACAACCCATTGGGTAGTATGGAAGCAAAAGAGCAAAATGAGGAGGAGGGGGATGAGGAGGAAGAGGAGGACGAGGAAGAAGAGGAGGAAGAGGAGGACGAGGACGAGGAGGACGAGGAGGAAGAAGGGGAAGACACAGACATGGAGGAATGGGACCCAGATCCACCTCGTCCTTTTGACCCAAACGACCTCTGTAAGTCAAAGCCTTGTAACCTTCCAGAAGTTATGAAACCGTTGGTGGCATGCAGATTTAATACATCATTTTGATTACCTTTATCCTTACGCTGTATTGAAGAGAACTGCCATGTGCATGCATATAAGAAGTGTATATGGAAAGCAGAGAGCAAAAAAA